ATGTTAAGTTTTCCACACCACAAGGCATCTGTGCCAAGGTGGCTGTGTGTCAGGGAATCCCTCCTCTCGGGAGCCAAGAGGAAGTCTCTCAAAACCAGAAGGGAAAGATGTTGTCAAATCAGTCCAGCTTCAGAGACATTCTATTAGTGACAAGTGCCCCTTCCCCAAAAAAACAATGAAGTGTTCTGTGTGCTAACAACATAGCTTAAAAAAAAAGGTAAAACAAAATTCTGCATTTTTATAAAACTTGATAAAAAATAGTATTTCAAACTGTACAGTCACCAGAAGTACACAGTTATCACAAATGCACACACTTCGCTCGGCATCTCCAGCGCCTTCAGCTTTCTGTGCCTGGTCTGCTTTGGCATCTCCATTTTCTGCAGGGCTATTCCCATCCTTGCCAGCATCAGCTTCTCCCGCACCTTCTCTCCCTTCTTTGCAGGGGCCTGTTTAGGCTTGGGCTCTGGCTTTGGAGGAGCAGGTTTCGCAGACAACCTTGCAGATCTTCTCCGTGGTTCGTCCTTCACCTTGGCTGTGTCTCCTTTAGCATCCCCTTCAGCCTTTCTCTTGGGCATGGTGGCAATGGTGGGACGTAGGCGCTGGACGCGGGGGATGCAGCGGCACATAGGCTTTGGTCGGTCTGGGGGTTGCTCTCGCCTCTTCTTCACACTGCTCCTCCTCGTAAATCTTTTAATGCTGGCTTTTTTTTTTTTTACATAGGTTGATCGTTGGTTTTGAGTTGGTTGATAAAGATTTTTACTTATTCCATCCTTCCAAGAGGAAGAGAGGTAGAGACAGAGAGAGAAAGAGATGGAAGTACAGCCCCTCTAACAGCGGCCACCTCCAGTCTCAGCCAACCCCAGATCTTAGGCATGTGTGTACCAGAAATACTCAAGTATGAGAACCTGGAATCTTCCCATGTGGATCAGCCTCACAGAGCATTGCATTTTACTGAGTTTAAACCACTGGATCCGGGACTCGAACCACTGTCAACTACATGGGAGTCCAGCGACATAGCCATTGCACTAACTGCTGGTCCCATATTTTATTATATTTTTAACAGAAGACTTACTGCAGGGGGGGTGCTGTATACAAAGTCTAGAGATAGAAGAAAGGATAAAATTCACTTGGGAATTATGTTCTGTATTAAAGTAAAATATGAGAACTTCAAGCAGTTTTATAGAAATACTACAGCAAGTTCTTCAAATTAGTGTAAAACAGTTAAGTCCCCTAAGCCTAGTGTCCATCATACAGTAGTGAAGGGTGCTGTCTGATGGTCTTCAGTTAATGTGCTGGTAGACCATAATTACCTGTCAAAAGTGTATCTTCTCTGTTCCTTACATCTGTGTTTTGGTTTCAGTAGCAGGATCTATTATTATAAGCTGCTCTCCTAGGGCATAAATTGTGCTGGGTGTACTTGGATATTGAAAATTGGCTAGTTATTTATTAAAAAATAATGGTTTAGGGACCAGCAGATGGCATAACGTTTATGTTGCTGAACTCCCACGTACTTGACCATGGTTCGAATCCCAGACCTGGTTGCTTCAAACTCATGCCAGGCACGTGCGTGCCCAAGATCCTGAGAGTTGAATGGAGGAGAAGGGATTGCAGTGTGACCATCCGCCCTGGGGAGTGATTTCTCTCTTTCTGTTTCTCTCTCTCTCTGGTAAGCACACGCAGCCTGTAACAAAACAAAATCTCTCTTAAAAAATGGCTTAGATAATTTTATAGCATTCTGAAATAAAAATCTTTTCTTCATGAAGGCTATTTTGGTTGATAAGTTAAAGCTGCAAAAACCTAATTTAATAGATTGTAATGGTATGCGTTTCTCCCCTGAGTCAAATCTACCCTCTGAGAACCTGCATGTCCTGCATCTCCTCTTTATTCTCACCCGGTTTTCTTTCTTTTAAATTTTATTTGTGATGTTTATTATTCATGCACGAAGTAGAGGAAGGGGAAGCACCCTCTGCACGGTCACATCAACACAGTCCCCTCCCCCGTCCTCCAGTTCATCAGAATACTGGGCATGGGTGCCCCTGGTATGTTTCAGTTGACCAGCTAGGGATCTGAAGGCACGGTTAGCAATGTGGCTTTCAGCATTATAGTTCAGTACACTACTGACTGTACAACAGGGCCTCATCCGGCTTTTCTTAACTGGTCTGCATTTAATCTGAACGGATACCGAGTGCAAATATGTGATTAATATTAGTGACCAGTATGAGTCCCAAGGATGGTTAAATCTAGATTTTCAAATAATCTCGACAGACCAGTTATCAGTCAAATCAGAGCATAGAACTTAAGTAATTTGTTGAGATTTAAAGAGTCTGTAGGGAGCTGGCTTCATGCTCTGGTAGTTTAGGGAACTGGATCCCGCCGGCCGTGCAGATCGAATACCAGCACTGGTGATTTAAAATATGCCATGCGCGTGTGTGTGCGCGCTCCATATCCAGACAGGATGGCGAAGTGGAGAAGGGATTGCAGTGTGACCAGGTTCCATGGAGGGATGTCCCCCTTCCTCTTGAAAATTAAAAACAAAAAAAATCCAGGGAACTGTTGTTAATTATATTTGTGATGACATTTTGATTATGCATAAAAATGACCATATTTTTTGGAGTTGCATATTGGTGCCTCTCCAAAATGTGTCAATTTTAGGGTGTTTCATCGGTATTTTGATCAGAGATGCAATCATAGTTTATTTTTATACTGTTTTTCTGGGTTTTAAGTGTTTCATCAACAGAAGTTAGAAATACTATCTATTCAGGCACCAGTAGGTGGCATAATGGTTATATCACTGGACTCCCACGTTGTCCACCACAGTTTGAGTTCCATACTGGTGGCTTAAAGCACACGTTGGTCATGTGTGATACTGTAGATCAGAAATATTCTTGGATGCAGTTCTTAAACTAAAGTTCAGTACTCCCAGAATTTGGAGCTTTAAGTATTTCTCTCTCTCTCTCTCTTTTTTAAGAGGTTTTTGCTTTAAGGCTCATGTACATGTCAAAAAGAAACAGAACAGTGAGAGGGAAATTGATAAATCAACCCCCGGGAGATAACCATGCTGCATTTCCTTCTCCTTCATTCTCCTGGGATCTTGGGCATGTACACACACATGCCCAGTGTGAGTTTCAAGCCACCAGGTCTGGGACTCAAACTGTCGTTGGCCATGTGGGAGTACAGCAA